CCTGAGCGATCTTTTTTTCAAATCACCCCCTCCCTTCTTGAGATGTTTAATACGATCCCATTTTCTTCAAATTATGTGCTCCCTTTCTACTCTGCCAGCTTCAGTTTGAGTGTTCTACCAGATACTTTACTTGTAATATTTTAAGAAGGAAAGAACCTAATTATTTTATTTTATTTTAAATTAATTTTCTTTTTTTCAGAGTTGTAGAATAGGTTGTGGTCCGTGTTTTGCAAGGAATTAAGAGAGTGAAAATCCAGCATTTGTGTATAATTTCAGGGCTTCTAACCTGTGGGAGAAGGTGGCTGGTACAGCCCTTCCTGCTCGTCTTGCTTTGTTTTTTCACCCCATTTCCTTGACAAAGCAGCAGGGAGATGAAGACAGTGATGTCCTTCCAGAGGGCGGTACCTCTTCTGGGTGGATGGGGATAAATGAAGATCCCAGTCCAAGGTCTTGGAATAACCAGTGTCCTGTGTCTCCGAGGAGCAGGTGTGATGGGGACATGTTTTCCAAAATAAAAAGTCATCACTATAGAACACTTAGTGCCAGATGGTAGAAGGATGGACATAAACTCTTATTGAAGTTCACACAGGAAATTAAAAACCAACCAAACCAAAAAACCCAAACCAAAGGAGCCAACCTTGGATAAACCCCAGCAATTCCAGTAGAACAAGATAATGCAAAATATTATGAGGTGAGGGGTTTTGACATGTATGTGTGTCAAGGAGGGTGCACAGCCTGGTGGTGCACTCAGGGTCAGGAAGCTTACGGAGAACGTGGAGCTGTTTCAAGTGGTCCATGAGGACCAAAGCCTGTGGAAATCATCCTCTTCCCATCTCCACCGAGCTTTAGGTCAGGGCTTGGGGAGCAGCTGGCAAGGTGCTGGGGTTCCTGGTCGTGATGGTGAAATGGCTGCTCTCATAGTTTAATTTGACCAACTGGACTTCCTTCTTTGCCTTTTCTTCTGTGTAGGATTTATTTTAAATTACTTTGAAAAAAAAAATGCACTTTTTATTACAGCCATTTAAAGGGAATGAAACTGTTTCCAAATGCACGAACAGAAGTGCTCAACCATTAACAAAACATGATTTTTTAAAGGTATCACCTTTTGTCTGAGCGAAATGACAGAGATTTGCATATTCAGGTTTAAAAAACCTTATCTCTTTATACTAAAGTATCTGTTCCACACTCTTTGCATTAATTTTGTCTCGTTTAATCCAAGTTGTAGCTATAATGCTCCTATGTTCCTCTTCAGGGCCTTAAGTGTGATGAATATAGAGTCGGTTGCTGCCAGGAGGGTTGGGGAAGGTTATTGGTGCGTGGGGAACTCTCGTTCACTTCTGGTGATTCGTGTATTTTCACATTTGTCTTTTGTTTTCCTCTTTGGAGCCTTCCAAAGGTTCTTTGGTTCTTTACAGAAGTTGCTATTACCAATATCATCAGGATAATCTCATTTTTTTCTCAAGGGATTTGGTACAGGTTTTCTGTATCGTGCACAAATTGCTTGATTGTGTAAAGGTATAATATATATAAAATGTGTAGAATTTTAATTCTATATTAATTCTACATAAAATAGAGCCGATGATGACAGCTTCTCTGCAAAAATTATGCAGCAATTTTGCAAGGGCAGTGGGATTTTTGTAGATGAACACGCACTCTGTCAGAAAAGTGCCTGGTGTCAGTCACCAAGTCATCTTGGCATCAGTATGGAGTATGACTTTGAGAAGATCAAGCAGTGTAGGGGGGTTTCTTGCTGTTGTACTAAATACCTACACTGATGTGGTAGACTTTACTTTCCAAGTCATAGGAAGAATTAAGTGTTGTCGCCTTCTTGGACTGCTCAGAGGGGTATTTGTGCTTACATCAACTCCTGAGGCATCTGCACGGGCTTTCATCTCTAAAATAGACCAGGAAATGCAAAAACCCTGGATATAGACCTTACTATATTCCTGGCTTGATGAGCTTTTAAGTTCCATTGCTGTGGGTTCCTTTGCCATTTATAACACCAATGATTAAACATTGTATTTGGTCTGAAATTACTGTTGCTTTCACTTCTTGATGTTTGATTTTCTTGAGTTGGAATTTTTATTTTGGGGCCTCAGCTAAGGAGGGTTTAAAAGGCACAGAGTTGGGGGAGCAAGATGGGTTGTTCCTTCAAGATAGCTAATGTATGATAACCAATTAAAATAAAATTCTAGTGGCATAATGAGAGGACACTGTGTAACTTTCATATGTTAACACATTGCAGGAAAGGTTGTGAGGAGCCTGGGCCCATCAAAAGGAATTTGAGGCTGCTTTTATGCTAGCTAAGATTTTCTTATCTCTTACCTTGCATTGAATAAGAAAACACCTTTTTTCTCTGATGAAGAGAAACCTGAAGTTCAACCAAACATAGTTTTTGGTAAATGGTGACTTGTTCCTAATCTTATCCCAACATTGTCGGTATCTTGCTCTGGGGATCTGCAGGAGGTGGGGAGAGAGAGAAACCTGAAGTTCAACCAAACATAGTTCTTGGTAAATGGTGACTTGTTCTTAATCTTATCCGAACATTGTCGGTATCTTCCTCTGGAGGAGGTGGGGAGAAAGGAAAAGAGGAAGCAAATGAGCATCCCATTTCTGTGCAAGGCACAGGTACTAGAGCTGTTCTGGGAATATCTTCATTCCTCTGGAAAAGCAGAGATGGAGGCTGGCTCTTCCTTGCTACCAGGAAGGAAGCCTCTGTTCCCTCTTTATTTATGGACAAGACCCTCCTCTTCACTGGAGGCTGGCTCTTCCTTGCTACCAGGAAGAGACAGCTTCTGTTTCCTCTTTATTTACGGACAAGACTCTCCTCTTCAAGCTGGTTCCCTTCTTTGAAGGAAGTCTGGCAGAAAGCAGGAACTTTATAAAGGTGATCTCCAATGACCTGTGGCAAGGTGCCTCGAGCTGTGTCAGTGGAAAGCATCCTAAATAAAAGACTTTCAACAGAGGGACAGGACCTCACCCTGAACCCATTGGCTTTTCTTCCTGGTGCCTTGAGAGCGGAATTTTGCTCCTGGAGAATGCTGGCGGACAAGGTCCCAGCTGGCTGTGATAAAGCTTGAAGACATGAAGGAACAATGCTGTCCTGGGGCCACTGACGTGGCTTGGAGAAAATTCTCATAGGACATTAGGGCTTGAAGTTCTGAATTTTGAGAACTTGAGGTTAAGTGGGGTCAGTCTTCTGTTTGTAAGTTAAATCCAACTTGTTCTTTCACCACTGGTTCCCCAGGATCTGGGGAGGGGGGATGTTTTTAAAGATGAAACTACTGACTGTGTTGAGGGATGGGAAGAGGTCTGCAGCACCACCTCTGCTCTCTGTGAAGCTCCCTTGCTTGAGAACAAGCTGTCTTGGTGGGTAACACTTCTTGGGTCTGTGCAGTAGGACACCTGACCCTTTCACCTCCTCAGGACCATTTTCTCCTATGTCTTTACCTGTCATTCCCTTAGGCTCTTCCTGACGCCTTCCTGGCTTTCAGCTGTCCCGCCGTGCTCTCACTTTTTCCTGCTTCCTTGGCTAAAAGCGGGAATTCCACCCTGGCTGGGTTTCCTCAGGTCACCCTGGCTGCCATAGGCTTGAACCAGAAGCCAGAACTCAACTTGCCCAGGAGACAGGACCTCATGGTCCCGAGGAGTCGGCTCCCACCTCTGCTTGTGGCGCTGGGGTGAGCTGGAAGGTGGCCCCCAGGCCTGGCTGGTGGGCAGACCTGGCTCCACGAGGTGGCTCCCAGCCCGTTCCACACAAAGCTGAGCTGATTTCCTCAACCCCAGGCGCCAGCCACGCTTGGGAACTGGTTTCCAGCTCTGCTGCTCGCAGACAGACAGGAGCTCGGGGTTTGGGCTCCTGGTCTTTCTTCCCCAAAGTGTGAAGGCAGCAGGAGACCTGTGGGCAGGGAGTGTCTCCTGGGAACCAGCTCTCCGTGCCCACGGGAACTCGCCGGAGATGAGAACTGGCTCTGGGCTGGCGTTGCTGGAGGAGCCATATGGCAATTAGCAAGGTCTGTAGCAGTTGGGAACCTCTGGCCTGGAGCTTGTCTTCAGAAGATCTTTGCCCTGTATTTTTGGCCGAGACAGACTGTCCCATTGAAGTGGGCGCTGTCGTGCGAGACAGGTACTTCCTCAGATCTTCTTGCTGTTTCCATTAGTTAAAATATGTACAATGCAATATGTTCCAGCAACGCATGGTCCTTATTAGTGATTGTACAACTTCCTCTGCTTCAGGTGGTTGTTTCTTCACCAAAAATGCCGTGTTTTACCAAAAACACTGCCAAGCTTTGACCACTGCCCAGTTGCGACGACTAAACTGTGGAGCTAAACTATATAAACTTGCTATAAACTTGAAACTATGAACTTGAACTTGAACTTTAGGTGTGATCAAACCAACCCCCTCCTTGTGGCAGAGGCCTGGGGCTGGAGGTGGTGCCCAGTTTGTGCCCCTACCCACCGTGTCCCCCCTGTGCCTGTCCCTGCGCATCACTGTCCCTCTAAGGGAGCTACAGAAAAGTGGGTCTTAAAATATGGCTATTTTTTGTAGTTGGTTTGTTTGAATGTGAAGAAGTCTGGGAATAATACAAAAGGCTGAATTATAAGTGGCACAAAACTTTCATTGTTATCGGTGTGAAAAGCTTATGCTGAAAATTGGTTAGCTTTAGTCATCTTTTTAAAAATTGCCTTTTAATTTTAATCTTTTCTTGCTTGACTTTGAAATATCTGGTGGAGTCTCTTCTAATCAAATGCTGCGAGTCTAAAACTTCACAAATAAAGAGATTATTCAGAGACTGTGTTGGTGAGGGTGTTCAAAACTTCATTTTTTTTGATATTGGTAAACAAAAAAATCAGGTTTGCTTTACAATATATTACCAATTTGTATAAACAGTATTGCTTTCCTGTTAGAAAATATATTTGTTTTATTCGTATAAATATATGCTTGTATCTATTGTTATTTAATTTTATTATTTAAATGAACGTTTTTCTTTTCTTCCCAGAGGATGCCAAGCAAGTTTTTGGCCAAACCACAATTCATCAGCACATTCCCTTTAACTGGAATTCAGAGTTCGTGCAGCTGCACTTTGGAAAGGATAGAAAAAGACACCTCACGTACGCGGAGTTCACCCAGTTTTTACTGGTGGGTCTAATACAATACAGTTTGACAAGAATATTTCAGGGATATGTGATGTATAGAGAATAAAATACAATCTATCTTTTGTAAGGACTCCTTGGCTATTCACACTTTAGGGTACTTTGTTACAGCAGACAAAATATTGCGCTAATAAACAAAATAAACAGATTGTCTGTATTTCAGCAGCACTGTTACAAATAGTCTTCAGTAGGAAAAGTGATCCTTGAAGTGGTGAAACACGTGAGTTTCTTATTTGTATTCCTTCTGAATCCTTAATGCCTGTATTTACACTAGAGAGTTTTAAAATGGGAACCTGCTTCAAGACTGCGCGGTTTCTTTTTTTCTTGTTTACACAAGTCTGTTAGTTCACAGTAGGAGGTGGTATCATTTTGATGAGGAATAATTAAGATAATGCTATTGAGACAAATGTTTCAAATTGACTTTGTAGAACAGAGCCTAATTAACTTTGTATGAAGAGGACGTCAGGTATCACATGATTAAATTGTATTCCCTTGGGTTTTGTATTGACTGTTGTAACTCCTGAGTAGCTACGACATAGACCAGTTTTGTGACAGAATAGCGGAACTGGAACCTCTTTTGGATAAAAAAGCAAACGTGTCACTTGATTAGTGTCAGTAACCATGGCAATTAGGGATAAAATGTCTCTGGCCACATGTTCTGGTGTTCACATATCCTGATTTTGATGGATTAAAATCACAGTCTTAACAGAGAGCACCATTCCTGTTTGCCTGCTATGTCTAGTGATCTGAGGAAAAGCTAAAGAAAAACCCAGAATGAAAATAAGCCACATTTTTGCCAAAAAAAAAAAAGTGGGGGGAGGGGAGAAAGGGGAGCGGTGAGGGAGGTTAGAGCCACAGGCCCAAAGAGCCCGTAAACTCGTGGCTGGGTATGTGGAAGATTTGAGTTCTTTCTGTGTCTTTGGGTTCTTTCGTGTTTTTTCTTTGAATTAGGAAAAGCAAGAGCTGAGGCAGGATTTTCCAACATTGGGGATGAATCCTAATGACCAGGCTTTCTCATCCCTTGGAGGAGTGTTTCTCTTTCCTTGCCTAAAAGGACTTTTCTTGGACATGATCATATTCTGGGGAGAATTGTATTTGGTTTTGGTGTGTCTCCTTTGGTTTTTTTAAAACTGGCCCTACTGCAAAAGTGAATCCTGGTTAGTTGCAGTGCAGAGGAACTGTGTTGGAACACGTCAGTGGTCCTCAGGAGCCAGACAGCCTTTTGGGTGATGATCATAGAATCATAGAATGGTTTGGGTTGGAAAGGACCTTAAAGATCATCCAGTTCCAGCCCTCTGCCCTGGGCAGGGACACCTCCATATAGAACAGAAAGAGGGAGGAAGAGTGATGGAGGAAAAGGATGAGGATTCTGGGTGTCCTCTAGAGAGGTGACAGGCATTCTGGAGAAGTTCTGAGGCTGCTAATAAAGATGCTCTAAGCATTGGTGCAGGCAGCAAGGACTTTCCAATAAATGAATTGTCCTCAGGCTCTGCTGAAGTTGCCTGTTGTTGGTACAGTCTGTCAGGATGCTCCATCAGTCACAGCAATTGGGTACATCTTTCTAGAACTGCAAATCTTTGAAACACATAAGCTCCCTTGCTGATTCTTGCCTTGCAGCGTTGTATGATAGATACTGAAGTCTGGGCACGGGAATGACTCCCAGCACAAATTGGAGGCTGTTCACAGAGGTAGAAATCTTCCTTGAAGGTCTGTAACCTCTGGGACTTGAGCTTTGCTTTGGAGTCAGTCTTCTTGGTCTGATGTCTAGACCTTGGACCTCAGACAGCAGGAGACCACAGTGGAGACCAAACGACCTTCCTGTACATTCCTGATGCGTGAATGCTCTTTACAATGTATTTAACATGCCCCAGATGGGGCTGTAAGGCGTGTCAGGTTCTGCTTTGTAAGTACAATGCAATTTGCAACTTTTAATGAAATAGTCCAGCTGGATTCAAATTCATTCACATTGGGTCCTGTTATGCCACATAAAGTTGTTACATATTCATCATCTGTCACAGCAGTTGGGCTCATCACCACTTCTGGCAAAGCTGAAGGCACGTGGAAAATAATATTAGTATATTTAGCCATGCACGAGGTGGATCTCTTAGGGCTTTCAATAAGAAGAGTTTCTATGGGATTCTGATAGTTTATATCCTGCCAGCACTTTTTTGTCTGCAGTAACGGAGATGCCCAAAAGTAGAGCCTCCAAACCGTTTGGCTCTAATACAGTTAACAATCTGTTTGTTAACCCAGAGCTCAGGGTTTGTTGTTGTATCCTGCTGCTTGTTCTGCGAGCTTAAAATGATATATTGGTGGATATATCTCCACTAAATATCCGTCACATTGAGATCTGTTTGCATATGGTCAAATTCCATCATCACTTAAGTGGCGAGTCTGCTTCAAGAAGAACAACACTGGCCCCTTTCTTGGTGTGTAAAATCTATTCTGTGGGATTAATTTTAACATATGCTTAAATGTGGGCCTGGTAAATCCATTTCCACGTTGTCCGGGAATTTATTTGTGCCCAGCATATTAGTTGATGAAGTTGTGCTCTTTAATTGAGCCCCAGGATCTATTCCAGTGGAAAGGGTTGTGCTGTATCTGATGACTTGGAGATCCATTGGGATGGAACCCAAACATAAATTTCTATCTCAGTGGGGACTAAAGAAGCTTCTAATGAGCTGTAAGTGAACGCTGGGGTAAAATTTCTAGATAGGAAATAAGTTCATGAAAATTCCGCTGCCAGCATGTCTGCCACAATGTGCAAATTAATTTCTCAGATAGTCTTATGCTACCTGGGGGAATTCTGGACTTCCAGCGCCAAGGGAGAGCTTGCTTTCTGAGTAAATCTTAAGTTTACAGAAAGTCTAGTCGGAGAAGGTTCTGTAGGATGTGTAATTTGTATTGCAAAGCAGAGAGGATTGTATTTCTGTGAACTTTAATCTGTCTCGGTAAACAATGATGGACTGAAGTAGATGGAACACTAAAAATTATTGCAAATCAGATAGCGTCTCTGAACACTACCACTTTGCTTTAATGTGGTATTTTTTATACAAGCTGCACACAGCCAGCATAGGTGATGTTATGAACATCTCGTAAAGATTTCCCTCATAAATTGCTGGTAGCTGCTGAGCCGCTTCTGAAAGGTAGTTAGTCACGCTGTGAGATGGCTCAGCTTTCAGCCCGGGGACCGAGGGAATAGATAGCCTTTTGGAGTTAAATGCTTTAAACAGAGTTTATTACGTTGTTATGCATGTAGAGTGATTAGAGAAGTGACATCGCTCTGGTTTTTTTTATAAGTGAAATGTAGTTTTGAGACTAAGCATGTTACCGTGTAATGGGCTGCATGTTCTCGTGTGCCATGTCACTGCCTTGGTCGTGGTTTGGGAATATCTTTGCCTGAACATCCCTGTGCTTTTTTCATCCTCTCCTTCTGCTCTGCCCTGGGGAGGCCCCATCTGGAGCACTGGGGCCAGTTCTGGGCTCCCCAGTTCAAGAAGGACAGGGAACTGCTGGAGAGGGTACAGCAGAGGGCTACAAAGATGATGAGGGGCCTGGAGCATCTCTCTGATGAGGAAAGGCTGAGGGACTTGGGTCTTTTTACCCTGGAGAAGAGAAGACTGAGGGGGGATCTGATCAACACCTATAAATACTGAAAGGGTGGGTGTCAGGAGGATGGGGCCAGGCTTTTCTCAGTGGTGCCCAGGGACAGGACGAGAGGGAATGGGCACAAACTGGAACAGGGGAAGTTCCATCTCAACATGAGGAGGAACTTCTTTGCTGTGAGGGTGGCAGAGCCCTGGCAGAGGCTGCCCAGAGAGGTGGTGGAGTCTCCTTCTCTGGAGACATTCAAACCCCACCTGACATGTTCCTGTGTGCCCTGGTCTGGGAGGACCTGCTCTGGCAGGGGATTGGACTGGATGATCTCCAGAGGTCCCTTCCAACCCCGTATCATTGTGTGATTCTGTGAACTAAGGAGAAGGTGCCAGTAGGGAGCTCCAGAAGACAGACATCATCCTATGCAGAGTTTTCCAGTTTATTCACTCTTCCCTGACTATTGAGAGCACAGACATATGGAACCACCGAGTCCTTCAACTTACGTTTGACCTAGTGGAAGAATTCTTCTCTCTGGTGGGTTCCACACGTAGCAAGAAGATTGGAAGGAATCACATTAGCAGGGAGGGGATGGGGTGTTTGGGCTCATGTTAATTGTGGCACTAATGGCCTTTTTGCAATTAGCTGTGTGACGAGAAGAAACAAGTTCTCAACCTGCCTCTCTGGATCGTGGGCCCCGCTTTGCTTCTGGGTCAGCCAAGGTCTCCCCAGTGGTACCTGCACCTCCAGACCCACTAATGGGGACACACAGATGGTGGCAGACTGGGCTGCTGCAAGTGGTGCCCAGGTTTTTCACAAGATTTTAGTGCTGGGTTCTCCCAGCACAACAGCACCAGCGGTTCCAGTGGTTAAAACAAATTGAACATTTTAGTGCTGGGTTCTCCCAGCACAACAGCTCCAGAGGTTCCAGGGGTTTAAAACAAATGGAACGAGGGAAGGATTTGAAAGCAACATTCACAGTTTCCCATGTAAGCCTTCTGCTAAATTCCATTTATTTTTTCCTTTGGTGACGCTGCCACTTAATGACAAACATTTTTGTTCATTTATTCATACGTTTCGCCCTGCCAGGTGGTGAGTATTTGGGAATACAGCAGTGATTATACCTACCTCCCCCTCAGAGCTCTCTGCCTCCCTGGTAGCTGCCTGCCTCAGCTGATGAAATTTTTTCTGTGTTCTCGTGCTCCTCCCACCATAAACCTCCCCAAATTGCTTGCTTCCAAATTTCTGTTGAGATTCTAGTCACAACTGGAGCGAAGCAAGAGCTTACGTGGCTGCATCCAGCCAGAGTGGACCTTACTGCTGAATTGTAACACCTCCCTGCAGAGGGCTGGGATGGACAGGAACTGAACTGAAATTGTAACTCTTCGAATTCTAACCCCCACAAGCGTTTCCTACCAAAAGCAGAAATTTCTGAATAATTCTGTAAGTGAAACGCAGCCTTGAAACACCGATCTGTCCTTCCCCCTCCCCGCCTGTTTCCTTCTTCTGCCTAATATGTCAGGAGGTTTTCATTGTACCTCACAGGTTAGCTGTTTTAATTAGAAATTAGGACTAAAATTGGGGAGGTCAGGATCTGCAGCAGGTCTGATCCTACACCAGCTGAATGTGCCCTTCACCCTTCACTCTCCATTCCCTTGAACACTGCTGTTGCTCCTGCAGCTTACAGGAGATCGCATTCACCAAGAAGATGTCCTGCTGGTGATCCTTGACTAGCCTGAGTCTTGGCTTAAAATGACTTTTAAGGCATATATTTGCAAATAGATGGAAAAAATAGGATGGTGTCACAGTCCACTGCAAGACTTGCATAGTATTGCTGTCACATCCTTTTGCTCTGATTCAATTTTCAGAGTAACTCATTAGAGTGCATATTCAGACTAAGCACTCTATTTCCAGTGAAGAAGTTTTTATAAGCCTTGGAATTTAAAGGGAGGACGTGGCGATAATTTGTTTTCCTCCATTCAGCAAAGAAATCTCAATGGGGAAGTCTCACTGCATCACCAAAATGTGGTTCTGGTTTTGGCAAAACCGTTGAGCTGAACAAAAAGATCCTCTGTATTACCAGGTTCCTGTCTGCGCAGGGTTGTTCCTTTGAAATGAAAAATAAAATAATAAGAAAGTAGTCTAAGAGTAATTTATGAAGAAAAGGGTGAAGGTCACAATAGAAAAAGATACAATTTTGAAAGATTAAATGCCTTTTTTTCCTCCCCTCTTCTCTCAGGGGTACATTTGAATCACAAAATGAGATTATCAGGTGGTTGCATCAGATAATGCTTGTGAGTGATCTCTGTTACTGCTGCGGAAATATTGAGAGCTGGTCTTTAATCAGTCCTGATACAAGGAGTTCTAAGTTAAACTGCTGGGGGCTTTTGTAGACAAATAACTTGATGTTTTAAATGAGGATGCTTTTTGAGGGAATGCTTTTAAGATTAGTGGGTGTCTGTGTGGAGATCTCTGATGATGGCATTGTCCTCGCTCAAGGAGTAGCAAACGCTTTCACAGGCAGTACTTTGCCCTGCTGTGACACAGGAGATACACTGGAGAATGCACATCATGGAACACTTACATGTTCACGAGCAGGAGATCACCTGCACTGGTGTGTTGAAATGTGTCCTCCCTTTCTCAGTTCAATGAATTGTGCAACCCAGTGTCCAGACAGCAGAGAAATCACGGTGGTTGTCCCAGATATTGAGCTCAGTGACAGAGACTGTATGTGCTACCAATAGAACAGGCTGAAAGTTGCACATACAATATCCAATTAAAATGTGATTACATGTAATCGTGTTTTGATAAGTATGAGATACCTTGTATGATTGCATTATTTGAAATCTAACTATTCAGGTGATGAATTTGAACTAACCTTTTTTTTCCCCGTCTGTGTTTTCAGGAGATACAGTTAGAACATGCAAAACAAGCTTTTGTGCAGAGAGACAATGCTCAGGCTGGAAGAGTCACAGCCATGGACTTCAGGGACATTATGGTCACCATCCGGCCACACATGCTGACACCGTTTGTAGAAGAATGTCTCGTAGCTGTGAGTAGTCCTGGTATCCCAACTGGGAAAGAGTCAGGACGCAGTCCAGCTTAGGGATGGGTAGTTTTAAGTTCAGCATTTATTATCTGCACATATGAAAGTTAAGCCTTATTGCAGAATTTGTGTCCACAATGTTCTTGTCCACAATGTTCTCGTTAGACAAAAGCCAAAGCAGGCAGGTGGACCTTAGCAATGGCCGATGCAGGTAGAGTTTGCCTGAGGATTTCCAGTCATTCCATCATAGTGTAGACTGTGTCAAATATGTCAAAATACCCTTGCATCCCCCTTAGGAAATCATCCCCAAAGGACTGGCTTTGTAAATAAGGATTTGGCCTTGCACAAAGCCAAGTGCAAGGTCCTGCACGTGGGTCTGGGCAATCCCAAGCACAAATACAGGTTGGGTGGAGGATGGACTGAGAGCAGCCCTGAGGAGAAGGACTTGGGGGTGTTTGTGGATGAGAAGCTCAACATGAGCTGTCAACGTGCACTGGTGGCCCAGAAACCCCCCCACCCCCTGGGCTGCATCCCCAGCAGCGTGGCCAGCAGGGCCAGGGGGGGATTCTGCCCCTCTGCTCCACTCTGGGGAGACCCCCCTGGACTGTTCTACCTCCAGCTCCAGAAGGAGCCCACAGCAAAAAGTGTAGCCAGAAGCCTTGGGGACTGACAGTGAGATCTAATATTTTCTTCCTCAGTTCTCTCCCCAGTCTTGTTATCAGCTTTTCTGGGAGATGTACTCTCTCATAATACATAAGATTTTTGATTCTTCCTCAAGGTCAATCAAATTTTGCCAAGTTTATGCATTGTTATCAGAAATTTGCTTGATCACCTATCTTATATTTTAAATAGGGAATTGATCCAATCATTTTTCTATGCAGACTCAATACCGCTTTAAAATAAAGCTTTAGGCTCTGTTCTTAGTTGAGAACAAATAACTGTTCAAACCTTCTTATTCCCATTTTCTTTGCCTGATATAAACTTGAGAGCTTATTGCTGGTTTTCCATGACATGAAATGTCTGTGAATTTAAATGTTTCAGTTGACCTTTTTCAGAATACGTTTTGATTTTGTTGAAACTTTCTGTATAGTAATATACTTGACGTGTAGAAGTAGATTTCCTCATTACTAGAAATAAGCCAACTTATGAAACATTTCCAACTGAAGCAGTACTGAAACCTGAACTTTGTAAATTACTACTGGTTATGTTGTTCTAATCCTGCATATGTATTTGTTTAGGTTTGTAGGGTGGGGAGAGTTTTACATTCTGGTCATGATTAGTTTCAGTAACATAAGAATCTTTCATAGTTTTCTTTATTTTGCAGTTTTTTGTTTTTTGGTTTTTTTTTGAAAAAGCAACCCTGTGCTACTGTCGCTCTTGTAAAATAACACTGTTTGAAAACCTTTATTTCAAGATTTTTTTTCTTGGTCTTGTAACAGCCTCCTTTCTCTTTTCTTCTTTTACTGTCTCTACTCTAGGCTGCTGGAGGTACCACTTCCCATCAGGTCAGCTTTTCCTATTTTAATGGATTTAATTCTCTCCTTAACAACATGGAGCTCATTAGAAAGATCTACAGTACTCTGGCTGGAAACAGAAAAGATGTGGAAGTCACTAAGGGTTGGTAGAAACGTTTGCAGTCTGGAAGTTTCCTTGGGCATTTGGTTTGGGGGAGGGGGATGGAGGGGAAGACCTCATCTCTCTGCTTTTAAATCAATGGGATTGAAAATCAGTGCCTCGTTAGTGTTCCTTGGGACGCCGCTCGCTTTGGTACCCTCCCGTTGAAGTCCACCCTCCAGGTTTTTCATTTTGTTTCAATCAGGAAAAAAAAGGTCCTAGTAAACTGGGGGCAGGGGAAGGAAAGTATGTAAAGATATTTAAAAGTTTAAAAAACTTCCTAGGACTCCTGCCAAATTGGCAGCCCATTAAAGTGACCTTCAAGGGTAGTTGAAGAATTCCATAAACTTGTATTGGCGGCACAGTAAGCTGATCTACAAGCTTGGAACAAGATGTTATCTGCTATATCTAACCACTTTTATAGAGAATTCCCTGTGCAACGCCAGAGTTTCATTAATGTGGCCTACTGGGACTATACATGAAAAGTTCCACATCTCTCGACTCCTGGGGTTTTTTTTCTGTTTGCCTTTTATTTTGGTTTTTTCCCTCTGCCCCACAACTGATTGATACCGTATGTCAAATATCCTAAATCCTGCTGATAGCGCTAAGCTTTAAGACCAGAGAGTTGAACTTACTTGCATGAAGGATATACCATTTAAAAACATACATTTATGTAGTGGCAGGAACACTTTTGTGATGGGTCACTTTTATTCTCCTTCCCCTGCCCCCACACAGCATCTTCTACTTAATATTAAAATGTAAAGCGGCTCTGGGGTGCTCTGGATGACTTCTTCTGGTTTGATTTGTTTTTCTCTTCTGTGTTTTTATTCCATTGCAGAGGAGTTTGTTCTGGCAGCTCAGAAATTTGGTCAGGTTACACCCATGGAGGTTGACATCTTGTTCCAGTTGGCAGATCTCTATGAGCCACGGGGGTAAGTGGGGAATTCTCCTCCATCCTCCTCTTTCCTTCTCTGCAGTGGTGGGAGGTGGTGGTGGGGAACGGGAGGGTGTAGCATTGTGGTCACGTGCAGGTAACTTCTTGTGATGTGAAAGCCCATCTCTGAGGAAATAGTGAGCTGAATTAATTTCCCCAGGCGCATGACGTTGGCTGATATTGAGAGAATCGCTCCTCTGGAGGAGGGGACGCTGCCCTACAACCTGGCTGAGGCTCAGAGGCAGGTAAGAACAGAAGCCAGATTATGCTACTATCTGCATCCAGTGCCAGGTAAATAGAGAGCCAGCCTCCTTCTGGGCTGTAAGCTGTTTTTCTCTTGAGTTCTGTAATATCTGTGAGGAAGACCTTGTTAAAATTTATTTTTAACCCGTGTCATGTCTTCTCTGTGCCCCTTTCGGGCTGCATTTTGACAGGTTAAATATCATTTACTTTGGAAAAATAAAATGTGTATGAGTGTCATCCAGCCATTCAGTAAATATTAGGTGTATACCTAATTAAGGTGTTTATGTTTTGTGATTCTGTTGCTCTCTGCTCTTTTTAATGAGGAAAGAAGACTTCCCCCTTAACAATACGGATGGTAATTTCAGCATCAGCCCTTGTTCTGAACACACATTTCTGGCTTGAGAGTATTCTCTGCTTTGCCTTTTGCTCAGCTGAATATCAAGATAGGAGATACTGTGTTTAGTCTGCCATCAGGGTTTCAGTAAAAGCATTAATATTCTCTGCATTTCCAAAACCTGAAGGATATTGACTTTCCATGGTGTAACAGCAAATGAACTCATGTTGTATTTGAGGCAAAAAGAAACAGGAGTGTTCCTTAAATGTCAAACCTGTTGATGTTTTAGTTTTGATATTATTTTAGCATATCATATTTTCATTGACACAAGTTTTTTTACAGATAGATTTAAAACTAACCCTCTTGTTTCTCTGTCTCTATTTTAAGGCAGCCTTAACTTTGTGTCTTGTGAGACTTGGGGTTTCTTTGGTTGTTTGGTTTTTTTTTTTTCCCCTGCTCTGAGTCTGTGCAGAGACGCCAGTTTGACCACAATGGGTTGATGCAGCTACATTTTTAGGACTCCCAGGCCATCAGCCAGGCCTCTGTGTGTGTGTGTGTGTACAGACATGTCTCTTTGGCTTCTCTTTCTTCTTGCCCTCCCTCCCCGAGGTGTGAACACCCCCACAACCCCTCCAGGACACTATCCGGGGTGGTGGTTTTCTGCTCGTTTGAGCAGTGACTAAATGTTGACTGTGCCAGAATGAATTCAAAGGAGTTGGCTCCCAAAAGCTCCACCATCTATTCCTAGAAGACTCCTAAAGGAGTTAAAAGCCTCTGGGTTGGGGTGAATATCACGGAAGGGGAGTTGCAATAGGTGGCAGTAAAACGTAGCCAAAAATGCAGTGGTGAAAGTAGCAGCTTCTTCGGTTTTTGCTTTGGGGCCACTGACTTTGCTTGTATGATTTATAGGCATAATGAGGACGTGCGAGTCTATTTACCATTTCTTCTGCATACATGCCCTACCTTTTCATTTTTCTCCCCAGTTCCTTTTTAATGTCAGCTGCTTGATGTTGAGACAGAAGATTTGCAGCTACGTTGATACTTTCAATTTATTTTCTGGCCAATTCCAGCTACATTGGAATATTAGCTAAAACCTAAACACATTTTCAGGAAAAAATATCTCCATATTTTTATTTTGTCCTTTTATTTGTAGTATCTTGAAAAAAAAAAAGTATTACAAAAATTGTTAGTGAGTATGGAAGACTTCATGCCCCTGCCAAACTGCTGTTTGCCTAATTATTTTCTTTCATTAAATAGCAATTTTAAATCTGGAGCATCTCAATAAATCTGAAATTTATTTTGAAACCTGGCACTCACAGACTGTAAGCAAAATGAAATTGTGGGGGGTGCTTTATGAAACCTTATTTTTCTTTAGCTAATCTGTTTGAACAGTGCTTGTACTCTTGTCTTGAGAGCCTGAGAAGCAGTAGATACACCTGGGCTTGGCCACAATAGAAATTCCAAACTGGAGTTGCTTTTAACTGTGGAAAATTAATGACTTAAGATGCAAGATGTGTGCTCTCCTCTGCGTTTTTGGACCATTGATTTTGGAGTCGTATAATTTTGTTGTGGTATTGGTATTTCTTTTCTTTGCTATTCCAGTCTGAAGAGGCTACATTATATGGCACTTAGAAATCAGTGGAAAAGAAATAATAATTGAAAACAAAATCCTCAGTGTATTGGGGGTTTTTCTCTGGGTATCTCTGTAGTGATATCATGAGATATTCTCTCATGAAATACCATGTTCTGATTATTTGTCTTGTCTTCCCTTTGATTTTAAATCCTGCCTTGACAGAAAGCTCCAGGCGATGTGTCCCGACCTGTTCTCATCCAGATTGCAGAATCAGCATACAGGTTTGCCCTGGGCTCCGTTGCTGGAGGTTAGTCATGGGCTGAGCAAAAGAATATTCTTCTTCACTCTTTGGGGTTTTTTTTCTTTTCTTCTGCCCTCCTTTCCTCTTCTGCCTTCAGCGTGGAAGGGTTCTCAGTCTTGCCCTTGGAGCTTTGTCTAAGGGATGGAATGACTAAGATGGAAGAGGAAGGGCTTATCTGATCTACAAGAGTTTGGGGATTTATGAGCCATAATGAGGTAGGGCCACGAAGTGCTTTTGGTTAAAACTGTGGGAGATACCTTGTTGTATCCAGAATATATCATGGAGAAAAAAGATACAACTGATATTTGAGATGTAAATGTGGAGGACAACGGTTGTGGTCAAACACCCCAAGTGCAAAATCATGATTTCTGACCATTTGGTTTTTCTGTGCAGCTGTTGGTGCCACTGCAGTCTACCCAATCGACCTGGTGAAAACCCGAATGCAGAACCAGCGCTCTACGGGCTCTTTTGTGGGAGAACTTATGTACAAAAACAGCTTTGATTGCTTCAAGAAAGTGCTACGTTATGAAGGTTTCTTTGGGCTTTACAGAGGTAAGCTTAAAATGTGGTATATACTAATGATAAGATAGCAATAAGAGTTCAGTGGAACCCTGGATTTTTAAGCCTATTTTGCTAAGACTTAAATTTTTCCTGGTTTGTGCTTTTGCTTCTGTTCTTTTATAGATGAAGGATTTTCAGGCTTCTTGATAATTAAAACCTCATTGTGATGAGGCCATTTCTGTGGAACCTCTCTCTGTCCTTTCCTTCCTCATCTGCAACAGGGCAACAACGGCAATTTCCTACGACAAAAATGTACTGTTGGTCAAGTTTTAATTTCCTTCGCAGTCCTTAGTACTAAGAATATTTTCTCCTGTTTGGTCGGAAGTTAGGTCATTGCCAGAAGCAGTTGAGTCAGGAATGAAGAGTGGAGGATTTCAGTATAATATTGTTATGATCTGGCAAAGCTTTAAGCACCTGAAAAAAAATTGAACAGTTTATAAGACAAGGTGTGAAACACCATTAAAATTAAGCGGTGTGATACACATACACTCTGTAAAGTATGACCTGAGTTACTGGAGGTTGGCTAAATAGCTCCTCTGCAAAATACAGACTTTTTTTGTTATTTCAGCACAACTGGAGATGGGAAGGCTCTGTTATTATTGACGGAGTTTGAGGCAGTTTTTTGAGTAGGCCTAGTAATTTGATAAAGGCTATTGACATGGTTTTTGTTTTGTCAGGATTTATAGCAATCAAAATCATAAAAAGTCCTAATTATTGGCTAAAGAACAAATCACATTTCCTGCAAATGTATGTCTGCTGCTTCCAGGATCCTGGAAGAATAAACGTGCAGAATTCCACTATTACCTGCTTCTGTCTCATTAAAACTCTAAAGCATGATTTTTTTCACCTGGAAAACTAAACCTCAGAAATGACATAAATGTGTATTCTTAACTCCATTTGCTTGTCAGGTTTGTGGAGTGCAAATTTGGGGAGCTTTAGGAACCTTCCTCAGTGTAGCTTGTCTCTCTGTTCCCCGTCCCCTTTACTACTTTTCCATCTTCCAAGGTGTACTGAGGAGTGAAATCTTGGACAGTTTGGTGGAGCTGAACTTCTAAACCCAGGGCAGTAATCTAATTTCTGGATTATATGGTAGAACTTGTGTGATGGCAAACAACACCATAATTTCAGAGGCAAATTGAGACCTGCATTTCTATGGATTCTCTACTTAAAGGGCACCCTGATTTAACTTCTCTTTTTAAAGAGTCAAATTGAAAAAACTCCTTAAAAATGTGGAGCTTCCTCTGTGGAGTTTTGTAAATAAAAAGTTTCTAAGGAGATGATGTTGGAGAAAGTTGAGCAACTGAGCACAGAATGAAGGTTTGCCTGAGAGGGCAAACAACTGTGAAAAGAACATTTTATAGATTAGTATATTCACCCTATTTGATGCAGTAAAGTTATAATTTATATCTATAGGAATCATCTTGTTCTGGTGTTAAATACCACACCAGATGGGGCAGACTGCAGAGTACATTACTTTTTGCTGCTCACTGGTAACTGGTTTTCTTTCTCACACTGTGGTAGGTTCCCAGTTCAGGAAACATGGGGATTTTTTCTGTGCTGGAGGAGGGAGCAGTGGCAGAGCTCTCCTGTTCAGCTGAATAGCGATGCAAAAACCTTGTAAAAAAATTACAGTAGAAACATTTGGAGCAGTGGTCTCTGTGTCACGCCACGTCGCAAGGAGGAATGAACAACCCTGCTCTCAACTCAGCCATTTCAGCTGATATTTTTAATGCAAGGCACATATTTCAATCCAGGGAAGCAAACCGATTTTTCTTTTTTGTGTCATTATTTTATTCCAAACTTGAAAAGGGCAAAACCACCATGTTCTAAACCACCATCTCAGATAAGGATAAATTACACCATCTTGTGGATATAAAGAGAGCACTAAATTTTGTTTATCGTGAATTCGATTCTAAGTATAATCAGTGTTTCCACTGAGAAGATACTTTGATTTCAAAAAAGCCAAACCAAAACATGATATAAAGCTCTGCAGAATGTTTGTGATATGCGTTATTTGAATGCTGTGTTGTTAGATTCTTTTTTTTTTTTTAAAGACTTCACATCTGAGATAAATTTTTCATGTCTCTTTCTCAGCATGGCTGAAAAGAACACTCATATGCTATACCTGTAAATTACTGTTGTGTCTACATTTATACCTGAAACACGTATTTAGAAACTTACAGGTATTTATACATATGTAAATACAGGAAAATTTTGGAAGCTGGGATTTGTCTCTTCCAGCTGATGAGGCCACCTACGTTTCTTAATACCTTTTTAGTCAGAAGTCCACCTAATGAGTGAGGGAATGCTTCACGGTCTTAAGCAGTGCATGTAGTAGAGATTTTTTCACCTACACTTGATAGAAATTCCATATGAAATTTAAGTACCAGAGATGAAATGTAGCTGATGGAAACATGAGGCAGCGATGCTGTTAGTGCCACTTCTCCGAGAGCTGAGAGAGACAGGAGATGCTGCCGAGGACTCCGTTATCTGTGACTGTTAACTCTTAAGGAACTTAATTAATTTCATTTTTTACAATGGTGCCCCTAGCACTGCAGTGCCTCCAGCTGCCTCCTAATCTGATTTTAATCACCCACGTTCATTATTAGTGGGGGACTCCCATGCAAATGGTACGACAATGCCACGGCAGGAGCTTCCCTCCAGAAGAATGCAATGAAGTACCATTTTTGGAGAATGGATGTACATGCCCGTTCCTACCCCAAAGTTCTGTCAAAGAACAAAATCTTTAAGAAATGCCCCATTTCCAGTCTGAGGGACCTGTGCTTAAATGGCAACTGGTCACTAATTGTCCAATTTATTGTGTGAATCGTGTAGTATTAAAACATGGCAGCCTTCTGTCAGATGTCCATCTTCATCACAGTCAGAAATCTTTCAACAGTGTTTCCGGGCTCCCACCAAAAGGAGAATCCCAGAATTCCAGAATGCTATGGGGTTGGAAGGGACCTCTGGAGATCATCCAGTCCAACCCCCTGCCAGAGCAGGTCCACCCAGAGCAGGTCCCACAGGAACGTGTCCAGGCGGGTTTTGAATGTCTCCAGAGAAGGAGACTCCACCACCTCTGTGATGGAAGGTGGTGGAGAAAGAAAAGATGACTTAGTTTTGATAGTTGTAATGTACAGAATGCCCAGGTACCACTCACAGAGAGCTTTCTTGTGTAGGCATGAGAGCAAACACAGAGTCCTTCTACCTTCCTAAGCTGCTGGAGACAGCAGACCCAGCTGGTATCTAGCAAGGCTATAAAATGCTTTAAATGTATTAAAATTAATGCTACCTTTTTTAGAATACTGTATGCTGTCTTGCAGTAGACATAGCATTATCTATAATTAAACTTACAAAACACTTTCATCCTGTAAAACCATGTGTGCAGTAGACAGAGAAGGAGAAAAATGCTCTGGGTTTTCAGTTGTTCAATTGGATTTTTGGGGGTTTTTTAGTGGTGAGGGGTTGGGGTTTTTTTGTAACTGCTACCTATTCTGGTTCATCTTTCTCTTCTGGACTGAAGTTTTATGGAAAGTTTTAAGTCATAACAGTCCCGTTCAGATTTGAGTGCAAAAGGAGTCGACTAGATGGGAAAAAAAAAGAACTTGTGCCAAGATAAACATGTTTTTCCTGAGACTTTACAAGTTCCTTTTACAAATGCAAAGCCTTAGGAGCTGAAAAAATAAAAAGTGGTAAAAAGGCCATCTTCAGGTCGGGGTAGTGAAAATGAATTTGGTTTGTCCTGTTTATGTGGCTTTCAAAACTGGAGGTTCATCCAGATCTCGAGATTAAATATTTTTTAGAATTCTGTATCTTAATATTTTAGAATATCTTTTTCTGTAATTTATTTGATATGATATAATTTGAAAGCCATGCTACATGTATAGCATAGTCATAATATATGATTTTTAAAATCATACATATGTATATATGATTTTAAAATTTATGATCTCCAGATTCTGTTGGAAATATGTATCTGTTTCCAGACTTGCTCTAGTTCTGCCAGATTAGACTTGGGATCGGGTACTGTGTTTGTAAAGTAAACAGAACATCTTTTTAATCTCTGAAGATACAAATTCATTAGCCATAATATCTGTACAAAGCCACACATATCCTATAGAAAGGTGTTTATTTAGATTAATGTCACAGCACTTACAAAGAGAATTTCATCCGTATAAGGCTAAAATGGTAACAATCTTATTCACTGTATATCCTTGTGTTTTCTTCAGTGCTGCAGAAAATTCTATATTTAATTATGTAATTCTGACCATCTTACTAGTTTTTCATTGAGGGCTGGATTCAAGTCACCTGTGCAACTAAAACTCCCTCAGAAATTCAAATTTTGAATTTTAACTTATTCTGCAGAATCTCTCTTTTTGAGCAACTCTGTGTGAACTTAGCATTACTGTAGGCTTTGGTTGGAATATTCAGCTGTATGAACATATTTCAGTCTTGGGTAGATGTTAGGTAAGTATATGCAATTAATTACTGTTGTTTGATACTTGAAATCAACAAAAATGCTAATACAAGTGCAATATTTTAAGGACATTGGTATATAAATAGGGCTGGCCTTTCTGCTACCACAAATGGTGCTGTTTCCCATTGTCTTTTCCTTATTAAGAGCATGTTTGAATGTTTTGCATTATTTTCATCCCTATCCCCTTGGGTCCTGCCACCTAATGCTGTTGGTTTTGCCTGAAAAAGGTACTGTGCTCCTGATTTTTGAAATGCACACATGGTGTATCTCACAAAATTCATTAGAAAGTCTTAATTTTTGCACAATGCTGCATAAAATAAAAGTTAGTGTAGGACGGAGTGCTGAAACATAGTTGGCAAATCTGTATGAGAGTTTAAGGGTAAAGTGAGCTAATTTCACGGGTTTGGAAAAGCTAAAGTAACAAATACGTATAGGCAGCTCCTCTGACTTGAAGTGGTAGCACAAAGTTTGTTCTCAAAATGGAATGTTTAAGTACTCTCATTAAATGTAATAACACAAAATTGCTGCAAAAATTGCCCGTTTCTAGGTGGTGATCTCTGCATACAGTTGTTGATTTGTTTAGTTAATACCGAGTTCCTCGATGCATTGACTTCTCCATTTCCACCTTCCAGGTCTCTTACCGCAGCTGTTGGGAGTAGCACCAGAGAAGGCCATAAAACTCACTGTAAGTGTGCAAATGGCTTGTTTTCACATTTCTCCACGTTGTAAAGTCCATCTAATTCCAATTACTGCCTTAAGGATTTTCATCCTTAGTGTGTCAGCAACGCAGTAGAGTGTATTCCATCACTTTTGCTTGATACGCATTAAATTACAAAAGCACAAAGCATTCCAAGTGGGATCCAAGTCACGTGCATAAATATATATGTGTGTACATTTTAAGAATCTTAGAGAAAACTTACTTCTGGACTCACTTCAAAACACATAACAAGATTATTCAACTTGTCCAGCTCATCCACTTGTTTGTAAATAGCCCAGACCTTTGGTTTCACTTCTTAGCAACAATGAGGAATTATTTATTGGCCATGGAGGGCTTTTGGTTTTGTGTCCCCATGTGGTTCCTGCACATTTAATTCTAGCACATCGGGAGATAATATGAGCATGAAGTGAAGTGTTGGTGAGAAAGGAACTTGTTTGCATGTGTTGGTTTTTTTTTTTTTTTCCCTAAATATTTTGCTTCTATAATTTTTTTATTTATTGAATGGTTTTAAGCCACTGACCTATTTCTTATTATAACCCGGTGGTAATGTATTGGTATTCACTGATAAGTTAGTATTCACCAAAGCGTTTTAGGAAGAGAAGGGTTCTTAATGCCATTAACTGAATCGCTATTGTGTTAAAACTTATTCTTGAACATTCTGAGATTAATTTGAAATTATATCTAATTTTAACTGTAACTAGCATTTCCAAAATCTTACGTGTAATTTATCATTAATTTTCAGATAATGATTTTACTATTTAGTTAGTGATTGGTTATTATTATTTTCAATAATAGATGTTTTAATTATGCTGCAAATCTCTGTTAGAAAGGAAAACATAGGCAGCTTTACAGTATTTCATATAAAATCTAAGATGTGTTTGGCATCTGCTGGTTCGGCAGCTTGGCGGATGTATTTGCACCGTCATTTGCCCAGAATTTGCATCTGTCGAATGTTTTCTCCAACCTTTTAATTCCTCAGCTTCCATAAAACGTTGGGTTTTTTTGCAGGTTAATGATTTTGTGCGAGACAAGTTTATGAGTAAAGACGGCTCCGTCCCGCTGGCGGCCGAGATCCTCGCTGGTGGCTGTGTGAGTATCTTTAGTTTGTTTCCTCCGTGCGAGACACGCGGGGCGCGGCGTGCCAGATGTGGCACGGGGACTAAGGCTTGTGTTGTACCACAGATCCACGTCCCGGGCAGAGGCCACTAGAGCAGCTCAGCTCTTTCCTAGATAACCAGCCGCTCGCGGTGAGAGGGTAAACGTTTCTGTGCATCCCGCGCCTTTCCGCCCCGCTCTCTAATTCTCACAGCTTGGAGTTTGTTCCCTTTCATAAAGAATGTGCCTTGATTCACGTTGGCTGCAGCTCGTGGCCTGAAGAGGATTCATGCTAACCTTTCCAGGAGTTAATAATTAGATACTACTTTGTGGCACCCACTCTGCCACGTCACTTCTTTCCTGATGTGTGATTGCGCCCACTAATTTTCACTTTTTTTTTTGCAGTGATACTGGCTTTTTGAAATGGCAAAAACTACTCATGCTTCTTTGAGTTTGCAGCAGCCGTGGGCTGGGTAATGCTAACTCGGTACATAATGCATTCCTCAATGTAGGCTGTATTTAAAGCCCACTGAATTTTGAAGAGTGTTTTGCTTGCACGAAGTAGTATCTTAATGAACAACTGGGTAAACGATAACACTTCACGGTTTGGTCTGGTTCTGCCCGTTGGTGTTACAGCTTACTTTATCTGCTGTATTGATTTTGTTCAAGCAAATGTAAATACTTTAGGTAAAATGAATAGCTGTTCAAAGACCGGTGCACTTTACAGATAAAGAAGGGTGTTTATTTAAACGGGCTTTGATCAGCGGGGCAGAGCCACGGCGCTGCATGTTCAATCCATCTTTGTTCCTGCTGTCATGAGACAGGTGAGGCCACGGCTTCACACAGCTTCTCCCTCTGCTGAAAACCGGGGTGAGCAGTGAGTTAAAAACCACAATCCTGTGTCTTATCCCGGGCGGGTGCAGAGATTTCGGGGAGAGCACCCCGGGATCACGGGGGGCCCTGGGGAGCCCTGAGGAGCCCCCTCCTTGCCGTGATTCTCCGGAGGTGGGGCAGGGTTTGGCTGCCGTCTCCCTGCTCCTTCTGTTTGATCACTGACCTGGTGCAGACTGCCAGGTAGGATCCCCTTGTTCTGAAACTTTAGGAGCGTTCAGGGGAGGGAAAAAAAATAAAAGAAGGACTTGGAGGGGGGGGTGGGGAGAGAAGAATGTGGGTCTCTAAAGCCCTAAATAAAAAGCGTGCTGTAAATGAAGGAAAAATGCAATAAAGTGCTTGCAGAGTAAAAAGTATTTGCCCCTTGCACTAATAAAACGTCTTATGAACGTAGCAGCCATGGAGAATTCAGCAAAAATTTCATTTAAGATGTCATTTGATCTCGAGTTTTTGTTTTTTACAGACTGATGTGAATTTTGTAAGGCAGCACAAAAAGCACTCTTTGCAGAGAGCTGTCATTCAGCAGAGCGCTGCAGCGAGCTTCTCCCCGCTCCTTCCTGGGGAAAGGGAAGGATCTGCTCTAAGAGATAGGTGGCTTGAGACGTATTTTAAACGTGCTGCAAATGCTGGCGTGTCCTACGTGGTATTTGAAATAAAATAACTGTTAGCAGCGAGATGCTGCATCGAGCTGTAGCGGGAGACGTGCGGTGGCAGAATGCCCTGAGTTTTCTTTTAACTGGAGTGCTCCACTTCAGGGCAGGATCTAGTGCCAGGTGGAGAGGTTGCGACTTGTCTTTTCCACAGGTGGTCTTTGGGGGGTTTTTTTGGGTAATTTTAAACCCAATTCAGACTAGCAACAGAGACTCTCCTTACCAGTGGTGCCTAGTTCTTTTGTGGGGGGAGAATTTTTCTCTCCTGGTGTACATCAGAGATGCCAGAGACAGGGTTTTTCCTTTAGCTTTCAGCGTTGAATTTGCCTAACTTTTTGCCCCTGTTTAAGCCAACGTTGAATCTGTGATTTCTCTGGGGAAGCAGGAAGGACACTGCATTGGAAATACTCTTGGGTTTGCACTTCCTTTGGCAACGTGCTAATTGCTTACGTGGGAGGCGAGAAGGCAGGAGGGCACGACGTGTTAGTGTCTGAACAGGGGCAGGGAAGGAAGATGGATTTTAGAAAAGCCACCTGCCCTCTCACCTTTTTGCTCTCCACATCTAATTCTAGGCTGTGGTTGTGTTTCAGACACAGATGTTGAATTTTTCCTCCTGTGCTCCTGTTTCCTTGGTGGGTATTCTTGGCTTGTGCGAGAGCCGTGTGCCGGGACGCTGCAGCATTTCAGGGGTTTAAATACCAGCCCCAAATGCCCAGTATCACTTCAATTCCTGAGAAGGGAGAGGAGGGAGCAGATACTTGGATGGTTTGGGTTGTTCTGTAACACAAAGGGCTTTGAAGGGGTCAGTATCACCTGAGCCTCCTGCTCCCGCTGTTTGCCCAACCATTGCCAGGCCTTGACTTTTTAAGTCCCCAAGGAGTTCGCTTTGCATCATAATTACTGAGAATTAGTACACATGGCTGACTTTTGCACTTGTAACTAAAGCTGATTGTTTCATTGAACAAGTCTTTTTCTGTTTTGTAAACTGTTTTCTCTCCTGAAAAAAGAAAGAAAAGAAAAGAAGCAAAATAGAAAGATCTTTTGCGTGGTGACCCGGTGGCACTTAGCTCAGTTAACAGCCTGGTTCATTGCTTTTTATTATGTGAAGATAAAAGTGAGGGCTTGGTTGAGATTTATTTTTTTTCGAGACCCCCCAAGAATATAATTGAAAGTATAACCTTGATATTTTTATACAGAATCTTAAGGAGGGTTGTTATGTAAATTACTACGTCAAAATTTCCATCTCCTTTGTTTGTAAGAATTTTTCCTGGTGACTGTGTGGTATTTGTTACCCGTAAAAATACCTGTGAGTTCCCGGTGCCTGGTGGCCCCCGGGGGCTGGGGGCTCTGCCGAGCCTTTAGGGCTCTCATCGCTCATGCAAATCCTATAGAGCCCTTATTAGAGCAGTGAAAAGCTGTGATTCCAAGCCTTGGTGTGATGATGCTATAGAGCCATAGCATCTGCTCAGCATCTCAACCACAAACCTGACTTTACCTCCTTGAATGAAAAAGTGCACAAATATGCCAGATTGGAAGTTTCCCTAAGCCTTTTTTCCGTGGTCTTTCAATTTAGTTTATATTTTAAATAAAAAAGAATCACTAGTCGTACCAAGCTTAGCTGCTTGCTTCTTTATACTTAATTTCATTAAAAGCTTCTGTTAAAAGTAACCTGTTTTTTTTTTGATAGAAGACCAGCCATTATTCTTATTTTTTGTGTTATATTAACCAATTGAAATCACTGTTTGTAAAAGTGGCATCGACATTATTTTGAGGGGTTTGAAGTGTTGCCTTTGACACTAAGCTTTTAGGTGAGACCATCGTTTTGATTAGTTCCTTAAATAAAGCAGGTCCACATTTAATGGAACATTTACATTGTGTGTCTGGAAGTAACCAAGAAAGAGATGCAAAAATGCAAAATAAAGAGTCATCATGAAACACCTAGAAAATATTAAACAGTATTATAGCCTGATGAAAAAGAAATAGCTATATCATATATGTTGCCGTGTCGGCGTATAGTAACACAATTACGTTGGTAAATCGAAAGCTTAATTTTCGGCAAGAAAAGAGAAAAAATATTTTGCTTTATTAACCTTTCCTCCTGCTCTCCCTCCTCTTTCCAAGCACACGCAGCCTTTCCCTTCCCAGCTGCTCAGTGTGTGCTCACTATTAGCCCCTTTAAATCATGTAGCACAGTACAATTACAGACCCCGTACAGATCTGCTTTTATTTAAGTTGTCAAGACAATTTTAGGCGTATTTCTAGAGACTTTATAGTAATCGGAATAAAGTTGAAACATATTGGACCTGCTTGGACAACCTCAGCTCTGCTATGGAACATAAAAATTAGATACGCTTAAGATGGAGTTCATCTAGAAAGTGCAAAATGCTGCCCAGAATTAACTTCTATAAAGGGATATGATGTGGAATTCCAGATGAATTGTGCCAAATGACCAATCCAGTGCAAATAGTTTTATTAAGCTACTTACAGCATTTATTTTATGTTTCGGAGAGTAATAAAGATAAGTCCACATCTGAGCTGCATTTTCTCCACGGCGTTGCAGCGGAGGCAGAGGGTGCAGGGACTGCAGTTCCCACCCTTCTTACATCTCCTGCTTGCCAAAATTCAGACATTTCTACCTCGTCGGCTGAAGGTGTCATTCTTGCTTTCATTATTCAGAAACCTAAATCTGATAAAATTCTATTCTCTTGGGCAAGGAAGGCTGAGCTGTGGGTAGAATGAAGCTGAGCAGTGTGCGTGCCAAGGAGGGGAAAAAAATCTCTGCGTGTGTATCTGAAACCAAAAAGAACAACTGCTGTGGCATGGAAAAGTTTGGATGTAGTGTATTGAGATAGTTAAATAGTGATGGTCTTCTCGCTGGTGGCTCATCTTAGCTCTGAAAGCCAATGGCTACCTCTCCTGAGCTCCTAACAGATTTATTCTCAGGGAATCTAAATCCCAGCACTTCCCAGGGCAGTTGTACCTGCACGTGTGAAAACCCAACATTCACGTTTCTCGCTGAAGGAAAAGTTCAGAAGCTCCTAACACGGTTTTTTTTTTCCTTGATTAAATTTAACATAAATTTTATGTAGAAAGAAAATAGCTTTGTTAAATAAATTAATTAGATTTAAAGTGTATTTAATGTAATTAATATAATGTAACAGAATATACTATAATTAGTTAGGTATTTTTAAAGTAGTTTTCTCCTCTGAACCACTATAATTGTAGTTATTTTCAGCATACTGAAAATAATTTCAACTAATTGTAAACTTCTGGTACAAAAACCCCCCAGCTAGATCTGGACTTAAATTTAACTTCACAATCGCAAACCCGTGGTATTTCGACCCTGCTTTGTTTTAATTCGCTCTGATTAATTTTCAGCTCATCTTAGATTTAAGCCTTAGAATGAAGTTTGGGAAAGCAACGTACAGGAACGTGATGGCTCTTCCCAAAGGG